AATATAATTTTCCAAACAGTGATAAATTATATAAAAAAAATGTTTTTATAAGATTTTCTTTTATGTTCAAAGTTAGGACTTTATAATTATTGTGTCGTTCGTAGAATTCTATACTAAATAAGAGCACTGATTTTGGAAATAAATTTTAACCATTTTGGCAAGTTGTTGAACCTTGTAACATTGCATAATGAAATATAAAGACTAACTGAATATGCAACAGATAGACCACTTGCAGGTCTATCGATTTCGTCTTGAGCTATTCCTAAAGAGCTGAGCTATTGAAAAATTTCTTTCAAGGTGATTTATTTCAACACTCAGAGCCAGCCGAAAGAACATTTTTTCTTATATTCATGATCAACAGCCAAGATACATTTGGAAGTCGCTAATATACCCCTGTGACTATTTTTTTTTTAATTTGTTTTCCAGTGTTGATTAATTTTTCCCTCATTAGTTAGTGATTTTCTTGTTCCTTAACTCAATATCTTGCAAACTGTTGATAGCTTTGATGAAATTTTGTAGCAAAGCTTGTTCAAATTTTGAAAACCATAAAAATATTCAGCTATTTTTATGGTTATAAACTTTTCCAACACTAAGGGCCGTTTGCACCACTTCCTCTTAGGTGAACCTTAACTTTGAGTATCACCTAAGTTGCACATTTCATTTTCTGACCACAATCCAAATAGTTTAAGTTGTACTTAAGTAATAGTGAAACTAAGCCGAAGGTATCATCGGTTTAAGTTCTACTTTGCGTGTTTTTAACGTCAATCTGACAAGTTTAATATGTTTATCAATAGAAAATAATATAATTAGAATTAGATAAAAGTGTGGCCGAAATAAAGTATAAATGGAATTTTTGGAACATATTTTCGATGATGATGATGATGACGATTTTGATGAGTTAAATTTAATTATTTTTGGGATATCTTGACATATTTATCACAGAACGCAATATTTTGAAAGTTTTGATAGCGGTATAGAATGTTTAATAATAAACTCTTTTCTTTAACTGAATAGTTTGGTGCACGCTTGGTTTCAGTTTTTAATTTTGTTTTATTTTCCATCTTAACTGTTAAAGTACAAAATGCAAAATTACAACACAAAATTTAATCAAATAGATGACAATTCGACACTGACATTGATTAGTAATATACAAATTCTCTAAAATTTTACACTGCTGCCAAGTTGTTCTTCACCTTAGCATAGATTTTGTTAAGTGAAACCTATGCAAAACGTACCAAACTTAAGGTTGACCTTAATTCAAGGTACACCTTAGCTAAACCGTAATCGTAAGTTGAAGTGGTGCAAACGGCCCTTAGTCCAATTAGAGGTACTTAGATTACATGTAACATTTTCAGAAGCTTATTCCTTTTTTTGTATTCTACTTGGAACTTTTTAATTTATTTAAAACATTGGACATTGTTATCAGTTGTTATTAGGTATTCTTTGTTATTGTTTATAATATTTTGACATAACCGCACATAACCAAAATATTGACCAAACCACTTTTTATCACCTTAATCCAAAAATTGTATTTGTACGGTTTTGTCAACTGGAATAAATTTTCATTATTATGTTTAATTTTTCATGTCTTTTATCATGAATTGTTATTTTTAAATAAAAATAAAGATGTTTTTTAACTATAATAGGTAGGTGATAGAGGCCATGTGCCTGAACGAAAAGAAGACGTAGATGGCGTATCTGCATAGCATTAAAAATTGACTACTTCATTAAATCGTCACTAGATGCCGCTCGAGATTGCATCCAACACTTTTTACTGTTGCATTATCCTACTATATTATCTTCATACAACGCTAATACTACAAAAAAACACTGATCTTTATTCTTCAGCACGTTTCAGGCTATTATAAAAGTAACTAATATTTTTGAAAAGCATTACTTTTTAACAAATTCATCAGGTTGTCAAATTTTTTCTTTGGAATTGATATAATTAATATCTAGTTCAACGGTTTCCGAAAAAGTTCATGTATCTCTGCCTTACACTCTTGTAGTCAACTAAATGAAGATTATTAAAAAAAGTTTTAGACATCAGTCATATTAACAATATCGTCTTAACTATCCTTATAAAAATTAAAAGAAATTTGAATAGTTTAATTTTTTAATTCAAATAGTTCATCGTAGTTCATCTCTATAACTTAATATTCTTTGCGCTTTTGACCACCATGACTTAATTCTGGGGGTATAAATTGGGCCAGTTTTTAGCGCCCTTTTATTTTTCTCTAAGACTGCATGGACGTTATCACCTTCGTTTTGTGTGACCTGTTATCAAGTATTTATGTTATTAATTTAATATTATACTTAGTTACAATGTAAAAGTATCCTGCTAAAATAAATTAATGATTTTACTGTCCTAAACAATTATCAGAAAAAAAAAATATAATATTTAAGGAATCTCAGCCATAACTTTCATTCTGTTGTAAATAATTTATCAAGCAAAAGTCAATTTTATTGGCTCCTTTGCCTTCTTAAAACACGTAATGGGGCTTTGGCTACACACTGTAAAATTATAAGTCGAGAGTTTGGATTTGTAATAAAATGATAAAACATCGCCCTTTGGTGTCTGTAAGTCAAAATAACTAATCTGATAATGTTCAATACATTTTTTTTATCTTTTTTTTTTCTTTTCTGCTTGGATTGCTTTCTCTTTGGTTTATTAAATATTTATCTTACATTTTCTTTCGTTGATCAACATCCGCGATTTTATAAGCAACACACTTTTGACACTGATCTTTTTGGGGACAAAAAAGCCAAATTAAATTTGTTATTAAAAATATCCCTGTATCACCTCGATTCATTTCGTGCATCAGTGTCACAATAAATAATCGCAGTCTGACAACATCAGCCAGGTCTCTTATTTACGAAATAACGCAGTTCTTTCTTCTTCGTAGAATATAGCTGAACATCTAAGTCTACAATTTTATTATCGACACAAGTCTGTTTAATTTATCTAGATACAACAGGTCTATGTTTGTTCAGTATAACATAAGCCTTTCTGCTATTTCTGAGTAATTTTGTTTTGTTTCTATACCACTCGTCCTTCATTTTTCTAGTTTTCTTTATTGCATTTACCTCCTCTTCATTATAATGCAATGGCGCTTCTTGTTCACTAACAGTTGTGGTTGAATCGGCTTCGTAATAGGGGTCGAAAATAAAGTCGTATGAGAATGGATTAGGTTCTGAACTTTCTTCATTTATTTGCATTGTTTTTTTATGGGTTATTTTAAATATTTCTAAACATCGCTCTTGTTTTTCTGATTCTACATGTTTCTTTTAAGAAATAATTTTTTCTACTATTACAACTTCCATTTCTGTGGATAAATCAAAACCAACTTTTTTTAAACTCCCTATTTTTCTACGTGTACCTCTACATAGCTTATAATAGTTTCTATAACATCGTGAATCATAGACGAATCTGATTTGCAATTTTCTAGCTTGCTATGTCAGGGCGTTTTGAGGTTCCATAATGCAATACATCCAACTATTTATTACAGTTTAATATGGTAAACAAAAAAATGGTTTTACTATATTAATCGATTAAATTTGCAGTACTTTTAATGCTGAGAACCCGATTATTGTATTTATAGTATTAAAAAAAATGCCTTTAAAACTTTAAACATAATTAAAGGAAAGAAACATTTTAGTGTTGGTTGCTCCGTTATGTATTAAATATAAATTAATTAAAAATTAATTGTAGCAATAATGAGGAAAATTTAAGATAATCAAACAATATTTAAAAAATAACAGTGGCACATAAAATGTAACTTCAATAAATGACTTTAACGCAACACTTTTAACAAGCAAAAAGGACACATCTTAAAACTACCAATAATTAAATATACAATACTGGCATAATTTACATTGATCCAATTAGACTTAATAACATTTTAACATAAAATAGTGACATACCTTCAAATGTGTTTTATTGTTTTATTAAAATTATAATTTTAACTTACCTTAGCATACTATTTAAAATATGCCACTATTGATTATTTTTATGTTCTTTACTCTGCAATGGTCACTAACACACCGAGTTAATGTGCCAGTATTGCTGCGTCACCATTAACAAACGCGCGAAATTCAATAGTGACACTAGTTTTATCTAGTGGTACCAGAGTGAGATAAAGATGTGCCACTATTATTGGTTGGCAAAACACAAAATTGTTATGGTACAATCAACTAAAAATGGCAATTTTTAGAAATGTGCTACTATTACACCCAGTGAGCGACATGTCTTTCACTTATTTCTTTTTCTTATTTCCAAAACTATTTAAAGTAGATAATACTTTCATGAATGGCAGTAGTTTTTCCTATTTACCATGCTTTAAAATACCAGGTAATTTTTTTGATAGTTTTTACTTGATTGTTTTATGCATAAATAAACATTACAATAATTACATGAAATTATTGCTTAAAAATTAGTATTAATGGGGTTTCTTAAAGATTGATTTTTAATGTGAAAAATATCTTAATGAAGTTGTGAGTTTCCTCGACAACTATTTACACACTTTATCTAAAAATATTTGGTGACAATTTTAAAACAATATTTTGTATTACATATTTAGAATCTGAGATACTTGACTTTAGAGAATAAATTTCTCTACTTAACTTTTTTAAAAATCATAGTCGTATTTACTTTTTGATTTTTAACAAATGTACACCACATTTTTAACTTAACAGCTTGTTTTTCTTTTAATTATTTAATAAATAATTAAAATAATTTCGTAAGCCATTTTACTATCTAAAGGACCCCGCCCTTTTCTAATGGCAAAGTGGCGTTCCGTCAAATGTAATTTTGTTCTATATTGAATCTGTAGTCCCATTGTTGCTTTATTTTTCATAGGTGATATTTTTTTAGTCATTTTGGTGGGAAATAGTCAAATATTTTTAAGTTTGAATCTTTTTAAAGAATTACCTGGGGTTACAATGTTTAATTCCTTTTAGATTTGCTTTGCATGTCTTACATCTTCTTTCTTTATTTCTAGGCTCCAGAAAGCTCTGTACCAGTGAAAAATGAAGTAAGTAAAATACATTGTTTTTTGTAGTAATTTTTAAAATGCAGTTTGCTTTAACATAATAGGGAGTGATTTATAAACAATGTATCTAAAGTAGGTATGTAGTTTGGTATAGATTAAAACTTATTTTGACTTTGCCTCCCACTGCAGAAGGGCACCATCATCAAAAATCGAGACATTGATACCACCGTATAGAGAAAAAAATGCGTACTTGATGGTCCAATGCACAATTAGGTCTTTGTAGGGAGTATTTTTTTATAATTATTTAAAAAAAAACTCATTTGCACTACCCCTTATGGTCAAAAAAAAATTTAAACGTAAATATCTCGGTTTTAACCGTCCTCAGATTTGTTTAAAAAATCTTTTAGAAATATACCTTTCATTTGACGAAAAACGAAGGCCTAAATGGAAAAAAAATTCTTTAAAGTTTTGCCTATGTATTGACAAAGTAAGAGTGCTTTCCCCATATTTTTTGCTTTTAAATTAACAAAAATATAGCAATAAACAATTAGTGATGTCATGGTTTTACAGGAAAGCAAGCATTGGCTCGACTCTCTATGGATCTCTCAGTGCTGAATTGTATGCAATCAGTTTGACTATCTTACATTATTTTATACATATATTGATTTATCCGCTATGTAGGCGAATATAGAGTACATTACTTTATTATGATTTTTTTTTTAAGAAAATAAAAAACAAGAAAATATTTATTGTAGGCATATATAAGTATAGATTATACACTGTAAGGCTATTGCTTTGCAGAATACAATAAATTCCTTATACAAAAAATAATTTACAATATATAGAGCATAAATTAATAATATTAAAATATATAAGTACAAGATTTGTAAACTAATCAGAATCAGATTGATCACATGAATCAACATTTTCCAAAACATTAGCGGCTGTGGTCAAACTATTACTGCAACTTTTTCTGTGCCATACAGGTGCAGGAACCGGTGCAGCCAATATTTTTTTTCCTGCATTTGCAAATTTTGCTTCTACAGTCTAGAACAGAATAATATTGTTAAAATATTGTACATCTATGAAAATTATCGCTGTTGCTAGGTACACGCTAAAGAGTACGCAAATCATAAAATTATATACACGCGAACCGTCATATTGCTGTGGTGGGAGGTGTTTGTGTGAATGCGTCTTGTTTGTTTTCATTTACGCAGTGACTAGCACAGTAGTATTTTATAAACCTTAGAAGCAAATTTCACATACATGAACAAATAATAATAATGCCGTGACAACAAGAAAACGAAGTAACGACTTCTCGAAAAATTTCAATCCATGCCTAGCTACGACCGGCGTAAACACCAACTGGCCTGCACACAGCTCACCTCCTCTGTCAAGACGTTTCGCGTGTATATAAATTTTTGAATTGCGTACAAGTTAGCGTGTCTGTCAATTTCTGTATCAAATTATTTCTGGGATCCTCTCTTTTGACGTATTGTATTTTTGATCAAATACCACATGACCACATATATCCTTTGAGCATTAAATTTATTTCTAAAAATAATGTTTACAAAACTTTTGGGCTTTCCCAAACTTTGAAATATTGCCATCCCATCAAAAATGTCACAAGTTTTGCCAGAGTCAATAGGTGCAGGTAAGTATTTGTGAGTAATGCCATATTACTCTAAAATATTTCCCAATGAACTCTGTGGAGGTGCCGAGATATCCATTTATTGGTCGAAACATCTGTGAGGATGTCAGCTCAAACTTAAATATTTCAGCATAAGTACCCATATCCTTAACTAATAAAAAAAATTTGAAGAAACTGTTGACCATTCAAGGATTGAGAAGTTGAAGAATTTTCTGTTGATCGTCTCAGTTCTTTGCATTTTCTTTAATGGCTTTTAAAAATCTGGAGTATCAACAATACTTGAAAAACTCTTCAAAGCCGTTTGACACTTTTCTTTTGTTATTAATTTTAAGATCTCTTCTTCTGCACTGAAAATTTCCTTAGTTGATATAGAAGTTAATTTCGATGATCCATATTTAAAAACTTCAAATTTATTAATCTGTTCCACTAACTAAAGTAAAAACCCGTTATTCATCTAGTGCCATTCGTTTTTTTTTCCAATTCTATATTTTGACTTAGACAGTCGTTGGTTAGTTGAAGACTTGGCAAAAATGTGTGTCATAACACCGATTTTGTTGAAGCTTAAATACCACTCATCTAATCTAGTGCTGTTTTTTGTCAGACCAACAATATCTCCCGCGTCTTTTGACATTTTGTTAACATGTTCAACAGCTTAATCAACTGAAAGTCCCCACTCAGTCTCTTGATAACAAACTGCTCTTCCATGTATTCTTTATAAATAGCAGGTGCTAAATACTAAATTTTTCACGTCGCTAGAGTAAATACATCCCAACGAGAATAATTAGTGTGATCGTACACAAAAAACCTTGGAACCATTTTTTGAAAACTTTCTAAATGTAAAAGCCTGTTTCCTGTGCGTTCAGCGTATAGAAATTCATATTAACGAGTTCTAAAATAACTAAATAAAGCATATCAATGTGATGCTTCAGCCTACATATAGAAACAGAGCTATACTACGTTTGAAGGCGAAGAGAAAGATACACTGAGAGTCGATGAAATTGGCGATCAGAATTAATTGCAGCATAAACCTATGACATCTCTCATCGTTTATTGTTTTATCTTTGTTAGTTCAAAAGCAAAAAATACTACGGGGTTTACTCTGTTACCTTGTCGATACATAAGCAAAACTTTTAAAAGGAATATTTTTTTTTCGTTTAGGCCTTTCTTTTTGTTAAATGAGTGGTATATTTAAAAAAGACTTTTTAACCAAATCTTTAAAGGGTTGAAACCTAGATATTTACGTTAACATATTTTTTTTTGCCGTAATGGCTAATGTAAATATTTTTTTTCTACTACCGTGCGTAAAGTACATTACGCACTCCGTAAAGTTTTACTTTTTTTCATTAGTGCGTAAAGTGAAAAAAATATTGTCTTGCAACTCGTGTGTAAAGTCCCTTTTTTGACTCGCCTACGGCTCGTGCGACAACATTCACATTCGTCAAAAGACACACTTGTTGCATAAATAACTATTTTCAAATAAGTATAAAAAAATTGTTCTCTACAAAGATTTTATTGTACATTGGACCAAAAAAATAAGAATTTTTTTCTCTATTCGGATGTATTAATATCTGGATTTTTGATGATAGTACCCTTCTGTACAGTCTAATTTTGTATTACCTCCTGAATAAGGGCTACCTTATCATGACCTTTCATCTCTGAAAAATTCAACTTGTGACAAAAGAGTGGGAGGTAAATCATTTTCTAGAGCGAATATTTTAATACATACTATATACATACTCTACTAATGGAAAAATTGACGGAAATTTCAGTGTACAATAATTCTTTTTAAACTCTTAATCAAGGCGTCATTACAGAACACTTAACGGTGCCAGTTCCTTCTTCCCGCTTTCTCTTCTTTTTTCTTAACCTCAGTTTCTCATCTTTTTTTTTTTTTTTTTGATATGTTACATTTGGGACCAATTGTCAGTGGCCTTTTACATAAAATAAAGCTAGCAGAAAAACTACTACAGTTGGCCTTCCTGACTAGAGGATCGTCCCGATCCTCCTACTAAAAAAAATGTATCAGATAACCACACATACATGACAATACTGTAAGAGTTCATAAAACAAGGATGTAACATAAACATAAAAAAAATACATGAAACATAAGCAATCTCATAAATACATAAATGGTATAAAGACATACATACATACGACATAATCATAAGAACATAAAAAAGGACATAACATAAGAAATCATAAGGTATAAATAACAAACCATAATCAAAGAACATAAATGACATAAAATAAACATAATCATAAGGGGTATATATCAATTATGTAAGTTTTCTTTTTTTTTATGAGAACAGTACTTAAGTTATAGAATAAAATATGTTAACATTAAATTCAGTTTATAATTTAAGCAAAACATCTTAATTTTCTAAAACTAACAAAAATAAAACAATAATAATCAACATCAGAAAGACATTCTGGTTGTTGGGTCACTTTCCCAAAGTTTCACTTGGTCCGGACCAACTATTGTCTCAAAAGGCCGTTGACTTAACTGAAATCCTTCAATATCCGTTACTACATACTGGTCGCGATCTAACGGGCCTTTAAGTTTCGAAAGGAGTTTCTTATTTACTCCCGGAGTTATATCAACATTCCAAATTAAAACCGTAATCACCTGCTTTATAAACGCGAGGAAACTTGTGTCTCTCATTATAGTATTTTTCATTTACTTCTTGACTTATTAATGGCCCTACTGGCCTCTTCTCGTATTTGTGGTAAATCACTGTTTAAGGAGTTGTGAGATTCTAATAAAACTCTTAAGTGGGACTTTAAACATTCCCTGTTTGATTTATTTCAAATAATAATGTGCTGGGTGTCTCATCAGTAGATCTACAAATGGTATTATTTAATGCGAATTCTACTTTACTTAATACACGATCCCATTTATCAATTGAATCTGTTTATTTTGAAAGCATATGAATAATTACAGGGGTAAAGCGCTCAATTTGGCCATTTGCCTGTGGCGTACCTGTGGCTTTCAATACTAAATTTATGGATTCGTTATCTAAGAACTCCTTGAATTCCTGAGACACAAGAGATGAACCTCTATCAGCTATTATTTGCTTTGGTTTAAATTTCGGAAATATTCTACTAAATGTTTTATAACTTCTTGTGTTTTTGTACTAGTGCATGGATAAAGCCTGATAAATTTAGTAAAACCATCAATTATTTCAAATATAAACTTATAACCTCTACTTGTCTTTGCTAACGAACCATAATGATCTATGTGAAAAACTATGAGTGGCATGTTTCCCTTTGGAATACTATTTAAAAATCCTTTATGTTTGCCATTCATGGCTGAAAATTCTAAACATTTCAAACAATTAGAAATACATTCTTTAACAATAGCCTTCATATTGGGATACGAATACACCATCTTTATTTGATGCATGGTTTTGTCTATTCCTAGATGACCAAAGTTATCATGACAAGTTCGAATAACGTTAGGTACCATACTACTGGGGACATAAAACAGTAACTTAATGTTTTCTTTTCTGTAAACTAATCCATCTTTTAACTCATAAAATGTATTATCTCCCTTTTCTAATTGTTCGCGAATTTTTTACTCTTACCCTGTTTATTGCTCAATACGCGCTCAAAATTACTACCCTCTATAATCATTATGTGATGACACCTACTGAGTGCATTATCGTGACCCATTCTCTTACCACTTCTGTGTTCTATCGTATAGCCCATCTCGCTATACGTGGATTAATAGTTTGCTTATTTAGTGTCAATCGAAAGCTATCACAGTCCGTAATACTTTTGAAAGGTATGCCGAATAAATAAACATGAAATCTTTTAATAGCATAAATTACTGCAAGTGTTTCCAATTCTGCTGATGTCGTTCGATGACTAGAATAGGTTTAAAATAACCATCTTTTTGTTTCTGCATAAAAATGGCACCAAATCCATGACTACTTCCATCACAATGTAACTCAGTCGGTAATTAAGGGCTATAAATACTCAAAATCGGATAACTAGCTAATAGCTCTTTTAGTTTTTGAAAAGCATCTAATTATTTATGGCCGAAAGTAAATTATACATTTTTTTGAATCAAATTATTAAGAGGTCCAGCAATATGTGCAAAATTTTGTATAAATTTCCTAATATAACTAGCCAAACTAACAAAACGATGAACTTCCTTTGTATTTATTGGAACAGGAAAATTTAATATAGAAGTAACATTACTCGTACTTAATACCATTTTCATCAATCCAATATCCCAAATAGGTAATTTAGTTATACATAAATTAGCATTTATCTAACCTAAATTGTAAATTATATTTTTGAGCTAAGTATGAAACATCGTTTAGAATACAAAAATGCTCTTCAAAAGTCGCAATTAATAAATCGTCTAAGTATACTAAAAGTTTATTTTCTCTTATTAAATTTTTAAAAATACTCTGTGTGAATTTATTAAACACTCTCGAAGCATCAGTTAATCCAAAAGGCATTTTTAAATAATCAGATTGTCCTAACGGTGTCACAAATGATTTATATTTAATAGATGCCCCAGCCATTTTAACATGGTGGAATCCATTTTTAAATCTAGTCGTATACTTTTTATTCTTAAGACGGTCTAAGTGATCTTCAATTAAAGGAAGTTACATTTTTTCAGTAATTTTATTAATCTCACGATAATCAACACATAATCTTACGTTACCATTCTTTTTTCGGACTAATACAATGGGGAAGAATCACTTGAAAACAAATACATAGTACCTTATCTTTTAACAGATCATCTAATATGATTTGTAATTTTTGTTTCTCTCCATAAGAGAGTCTAAAGCAAATAGGTTTATCATGTTTTAATGTAATAATCATTTCAAAGTTATTATTACTTAAATTTAACAAATACTTTTGATACAAAGTAGTTTCTACTTGTTTGGTGTCATAATAAGGTAAATTCGGGTTAATGTCAATACTTTTTGAGACACTGGGGTTCATCTACATATTCTATGTTCATAATTTCTTCAGTGCAATTATTTTTAGACATGTCTGAAATATTTTGAGTAATCTTAACTGTATCACTAAAAGTAACTGTCAAATGTGACTTTGAAATAAAATCCCTACCTAAGATTGCGGGGTATGACATGGTACATCCGGTACCTATGATTATCAATCATAGGTATTATTAATTTATTAGGTACATAACTGTTTTTTTAAAATATTTATTGGTGAACCACTATCTAACAACGTAAGAAATTATAATGAAACATCTCACCATTTACATTCACTGAATAATCTGCACTCACTGCATATGGCTGGTAGCCTGTTTGTTGGACAACATTGGTTGTGCTGTCTGCTGGTCTCGCTCTTAATGGACAGTCCTTAAATTTATGATTCATCTTTTTACAAGAAAAACAAAATCCTCGCTCTCTTCTAGGCTTCGGACAATTACTTATTTGGTGTCCCTGTTAATTACAATTAAAACATTTTAATGAACTGGCAGTGGCTCATGCAACATTACTAATAGGGGCACGTGTCTCTGTATTAGTACCTCTTGGACGACTAAAATTTTGTGTGGGGGCATAGTCGCTGGTAACATTTGTCATAATTTTAAATAAATCTTCTAAACTTTTAACATTATGTAACATCATACGACCTTGGTTTTGTAGATTTCTGTTATCAAACCCTTCTATGACGTACTGTATAATGTCTACTTCTGGTAGACGATGAAAATAATCTGCAAACGGCTAACCTTGTTTCCATTTTCTTTTCTCAAAGGTCCTTCTAAGACTGACAATGTCGTGATGCCTGGTATACATTTTTCTCATTTCTTCTTTAAAGCTATTCCAATCCATTGTAACAAAATCTGGCTTTGAATAGTACCATTCCCTGGCCCTTCCGGTCAATTTTCCCACTGCTATTATTTGCATAAGATCATTACTGATATGATATAAGTATTGAACCTTATTAATTCTCTCCAGCCAAATTTCAACGTCCTGTTTCGACCCATCGAAATCCGGTAATAATGCTGCTATTTATTACTGTATAATTTACAATCATCTGCAGGTGACGCAGGACTGTGCGGGTTTTGCCTCTAGTTACTTTCATTTTGGTATATTAAAAGGGCTCTTATGGTTGCATGAATCACGTCATCCATATTCATTGCTTCCCTGAACGGTATCCGATGGACACGATCCACTACTAGCGGCCCGGCGTCAGTCGTTTTTTGTCAGGCATCTTCTTTAATTATTACATAAAAAAAAAATGTCGTAAGTCATAAATTATTTTTAAATTAATTATTTTATTTTAATAACCTAAAATAATTTGTAAATTTTCGTTAGTGGGTCGTAGAAAAAATATACTGTACAACTCTAGTGGATTGTCCATATCGCACTTAAGACGTTTGAGCACTCCGCCTACGGAGCCGTGCTTAAATTTCATCTTCGTGCGATATGGCCATCATATCCACTCTTGTTACACAAACTACTATTTTGCATCATCAATATGGCGATATATGTATTTCTCTTAGTTATTTCTTGCCCTTATTTCCAAAACTTTAAAGTAGATAATACTTTCGTGAATGACAGTAGTTTTTCCTAATTTACCAAGCTTTAAAACACCAGGTAATTTTTTTGATAGTTTTTACGTTATTAATTTATGGATAAATAAGCATTACAATAATTACATATTAGCTAGCCATGAAATTATTGTCAAAAAATTACAATTAAAGGAGCGTCTAAGTGTTGATTTTAAACGTGAAAAAAATATCTTTATGAACTTTTGAGCGACCGAGTTTCCTCGATAACTATTTACAAACTTTTCTAAAAATATTGGGGACAATTTTAAAATAATATTTTATATTATTTAATTAATGACTAAAATAATGTAAGCCATTTTTTCGGTGGAAAATAGTCAATTATTTTTGAGCTTAAATCTTTTTAAAGAATTACCTGGTGTCATAATATTTAATTCTTCTTTGATTTGCTTTGCATGTCTTACTTCGTCTTTCTTTATTTTTAGGCTCCGGAAAACTCTGCACCAGTGAAAGCTGAAGTAAGTTAATCACATTGTTTTTTGTAGTAGTTTTTAAAATGCCGTTGCCTCGTAACATGATAAGGAGTTAATTTTTAAAATTTCTATTTAATCTAGAAGTGACGTATTTGTCTTTCTCAATTATGGATTACTACTTTGTTTATTTACAGTCATTATTAGACAAAAAGCAATCAGCTCTTCACGAATTAAATTTCTTAATCATTCTTTGGCCTATTCATACAGGGCACGTCATAAGGAATAAGCTAATTTTTTATTCACATGTTAAAATATTAATATTTTGGTAAATAAAACTGGGTCAAATTTAAAATATTCTCAAAATTTCTTCACATTGTTTGCACATGCAAGGCAACAGCAGTGTTAAGCTGGCTCTTTGAAATTCGAAAATTTTGGTTTTAAAAGCGGAATGCATTTTACCTTTTTCAATATTAACAGCAAATTTAAAAAACAGCCTTTATAAATTAATAATTTTTCAATATTTTAATAAGTAACCGATCATTGATTATTTCAAATAATCAATTAATAACTTTGTCGTTTGTAAATTTTGTTGCATTCTAATGGGAGTTATTTTTTTGTTACAGGAGAGTCAACCAGTGCACAATTCAACTACAGAGAGCAGTGCTTAGTGTTTACGCGCTTAAGATCACTCCATTATTTATAATGTTAACGACGTTTAGCGCGTGAGTTTGTAAACAGGCATTTCATGGAGATAATTTTTCATCTAATAAAAAAAATTAAATAAGAAAATAATGTTACGGTTTGACGCCATTTCAATAGGAGTTATCTACCAAAAGAAATTTGATACTTTTTATATCCCCCTGTATGATGTTTGTATACTTGATAATTTGTAAAATGTAGATAACAATAAAGTTTCAACTCGTATATTGAAAGTGGTGACAAACTTTTTGTTTTTTTTTGCGTTATCATCTTCTTCAAATGTCTTAAGACCTTAGGTGAAAATGAGTGGATGATCTCGTCACAGATCACTTTTAGAATGGAGACGGCAATGTTAAAATTCGAGACAGTATTGTAGCGCCGTGTGATAGTTCTTTGAACTATTTGGAAAGAAGTGGCGCCTTCTCGCGACACTTTAGTTAATACAAAACGCGGGAACATTCAAAATTGTCATTCAGTATTTATTTTAAAGTGGTAGTCAAATTAAGATTTGTAAATACTAACTTCTTTTTTACGTTATTGTAGCAGTAACATTATTTTTGTTACAATAAAGCAAAACATTAGTATGAACCAATCCTAACTTGACTACAAGTTTAAATATTTTATTAATACACAAAAAATTAAAAAGCATGATCAACAAAATTAATTTATTAAAACAAAAAAAAAACATGCAAATAGAATAATTAAATGTAGCGTGTTAATTAGTTGGAAAGTTAAGTAATTTTCCACAGAGGTTGAAGAGTTTTATCTAGAATAAAAAAAATAAATAGTAATAAACTTATAAATCAAGAAGGGTGAAGGAAGAAAAAGCGGCTAAGTCACATTTTTGTCAAATTAAACTGGTACCGCCCTATTTTGTAAAATACCTGTATCCATTTAATAAGCCAAATTAGCAAGAGCAAAATAGTGCATTTTAGAGATAACCAAATATCGATAGTTATAACTATCGATGGTGGCGATAGTTTTCTGAAGAACTATCGATAATATAATTAACCTATAAATATGACAAAAAAGAAGAAAATATTTGTTTATAGTTTATTAATTAAAAAATGGGGGCTTCCACTTTTCCAGGGTGTATAAAAAATAAATAAAAACAACTAAAAATTGCACTTTTCAATCCAATGCATTTCAACTTTAATATACGGGGTGTTAATTATTTAAAGAGGTAACAGTATGGACCAAAATAAACAAAAAAAGTCTTAATAAACATGGGTCCTCAAAGTAACAGTTTCAGAGATATTGTAGGCAGAGCTGGGGATCACATTTTTAAGGATCGGAGAGCGGTATTCGAATACTTAAGAAAAAAGGATCCGTGATCCGGATTTACCGAGGAAATCCTAAAGGATTCGTATTCGAATCACCAATATTAGTCATGGATCCTTTTAGAGACCAAACTACGCCGGCGCTAATGGTCGACTCAAGCTTTGATTTGTCGCGAAGTGTAAACTGATAACTGAAACAGACTGAGACTAAAGACTCATTGTGGATATTTGGAAGATAAACGTAATAGACTTCAAATTAACAATAAATATTCAACATAAAAAATCCTAAAATTTAACACTTGCATTCCTCGTCTGATGCAGTCGAACAATTATTTTAAATTGCAGGAAGGAACGGCATGACAAATGGAAACTTTGAAATTTTGGTTCTATGTAAGGCCAACCAAAAGATATTTTTATTTCATTGTTTTTTGTATTAAAATTATTATATTTTTGTAATTTTAATAATAACATAACCCAATTTCAATGCAAACATAGTTATAAAAAAAACGGTTCGTATTGTACAAAGCTCGTGATTAATATGCCTTTAATGCTTGTCTAGTATATAACCACTTGGATTTGCTTGGTATTGTTAACGCAGCGTGTAACGCAGTATATTTAAGTTGAATTCTTATCTACGCTAACAAAAATAAAATAATTTGTTTGAAGATTCTAATTTACTTATGGTTCATATAGTTTTATTATTCAACATCTTCTTGAATCAACCATAGTTGATAGATAATATTAGATTCGGAAGCATACATAATACCATGGTATGACAGTGATTCGTATTCGTGATCCGAAAAAATGGATTCGAATCACTTCATTCGAATTCTTTTTTTTTTTTTGTAAAAAAGGATTCGAACATAGGATCCGTGATTCGGATCACAGCTCGTGATTCGAATCAATTTTTTGAGGATTTGTCCCAGCTCTGATGATAGGTTATTTCTTTTTTGAAACATTTAATTACAATTATTTATTATGTACAAACAAAAGAAGCTTCAAACAAAAAAATTAGAAGATGTTCAAAGTGCACTCCTTCCATTTTCATGCATGCATGACATCTTTTTCTGAAGGATAATCATCATTATTATTATTAGCTCGATTTTGTTGGCATTTCTTGTTAATTCGTTGCTGTAGCTCCTCGAGTCAATTTCACAAAACATCAGCCAACCATGATAAAAAAGGCAAGTTTTTACGAAATTAAAAAGAAAGTAAAAAAAGAATAACCTTCCACATCTCCAAAACTGTTACTTTGCGGATCCATCTTTATTAAGACTTGTTTATTTTGGACCACACTGTTACCTCTATACATATTTTCCAGTCTTTTTAACATCCCCTATATATAACCAGTATTTCTAAATTAAAATATTACCAATCTCATATCTGTTCAAATAATTCCAAAAATATACGATTGTTGTCGTTTTACCATTTTATATTTTTAGTGAATCGCTAAGCACAGAAAAACATGACATCGAAATGTAAATTTTACATATTAGAAAAAGCATTTTTTGGTTGAATTTAAATGTAAAATATAGTAAAGAAAGTCAAATTATTTTCCTAAAAAAAGTATCTAATTCACCTAACCTGTGCGGCCTGGAGTAACCATGGGTTGCTTCGCAAATAAATATGCATAAAATAATTAAAATTAAACAAATTTTTAACTAAAACTTAATATTTTCGAACTACACTGTATCGAACAAAACATTTTTCGAATAATAGTGTTTTCGAACAACGTATTTTTGAACTAAGAGTTTTCGAACAAAATTCCGCCAACCCTGAAATGAGGACGCTGTATGACTTCTATGTGCTGCCGGGGAACTAGCGAGAATGAGATCGTGTCGAGGATGTAGTTAATCTCACTCATCAGCGCAGCCTTGTCCCATCGCAGTTCTTCATTACATTGACTACCCATCTTCAGGAGACCATCCTGGCCTCCCTTTTCATCAAAATATGGAGAGGGGTTGAGTCCAGCATGTTCTCCATGGCTCCCGTCGGGTATGGTCAACATTACCCAATGATGGCGTAGCACGCAAGCAGGTGGATTCCAGCCAGCTTTGATCAGGCTGTCCGTTGAAGTCCCATGTCCCACCGTACGTAACTATGGGTTCTACCACGCTTTGGTAAATCCAGTAGATCAGTTGAGGATAGAGGGATAATCTGGCTTTGTTGGTGCTTTTTCCAATTGGGGGTTCCAGATGAGTTTCTTATCTAGGCTAATCCCCACCTCCTCCGCAAAAGGAATGGTTTCTCTGGCCAAGTAGGTGGTCGAGCTTCTCTTGATGAAGGGGATGATAGCAGATTTCCGGGGGTTAACAGGCTCCATCGCATCATCTGTTGATCGTATTTAGAGCTTGTTGGAGATCGCCTCTGCGTACTTTCATCTAATTATGCATGGCATAGGAAATCTCCCCTCTCCCGGCCGAGAGAGATCGTCTAGCAGGTTGTCCACCGTAGGGGTGAAAATTCGCCGCCATGTGGACATCCTCTGTCAGGCTTAAAAGTGACTCTCCCTGCAGTGATGAAATGATGTTCCGGTTTGCAAGCGTGAGAAAAAAATAATTAGGTAGATACTTAGATAGGTATGTAGGTACTTTTGAATTTTACTAATTTTAACTTTTTCGCCTTGGACATGTTTAGGTTGACGAAAAAACGATGTAGGTACCTACCTAGCGTAGACACATCCTTAAATAGGTAGATATCTAAGCTAAAAGTAATTAAAAATTGTTAACCAAATGGATATATTGGCATAGTGAGAAATTAAAGTAATTCCCGAATGCAACAAGGATCTGTGAGGAGCTATTTAATAAGATTTATTGAGGATTTTTGTTTTACTTTTAGATACCTCTAGATAAGCTTTGTTGCAAGTAATCTGTTTCAAACATTTTAATTTTTGAAAAAAAAATACAAGTAGACTTTAACAATCGACATCTAACATAATGTAGGAATTTAATAAGTTTTACTAAAAAAATCGCAAAAAGGGCAACGGCACGCGATGTTCCCAAGCGGTCACCTATCCAAGTACTAACCGTGCCCAACACTGCTTAACTGCGGTGATCGGACGAGAACCGGTGTGGTATGGTCGTTGCCTGTTAAAATAGTGAGTCTGTGTCCTCATAACCTCCTAAAGTACCTAGTTGCTAACTTATTTTCATCAAACCGTACTATACGTATCTATAATACGAATATAACAACCAGTTGAATACATTTTATCTTACAAACACTACTTACTTGATATATATAGGTACCTAGGTAAATTATAACCCATTTTTGAAATGAGTCCTACTTTACTTTCTACCCCCTTGAGAAAAAAATAATTAGGTTAGTACCTATGTACTAGATAGGTATGTAGGTACTTTTGAATTTTACTAATTTCAACTTTTTGCCTTAGACATGTTTAGGTTGACGAAAAAACGATGTAGGTACACCTAGGGTAGACACATCCTTAAATAGGTAGATAGATATCTAAGCTAAAAGTGATTAAAAATTGTTGCCCAAATGGATCTATTGGCATAGTGAGAAATTAAAGTAATTTCCGAATGCAACAAGGATCTATTTAATAGGATTTATTCAGGATTTTGTTTTGCTTTTAGATACCTCTAGATAAGCTTTGTTGCAAGTAATCTGTTTCAAACATTTTAATTTAAAAAAAAAAAAAAATACAAGTAGACTTTAACAATCGACATCTAACATAATGTAGGAATTTAATAAGTTTTACTAAAACAAATCGCAAAAAAGGCAACGACACGCGGTGTTCCCAAGCGGTCACCCATCCAAGTACTAACCGCGCCCAAGACTGCTTAACTGCGGAGATCGAACGAGAACCAATTCAATTCAAAAATATTTATTTACAGTATTTACGTAACATTACAACATAATTAGAATTTCATATCACGTAAGTCTTCACTTTTGCTAAGGACTTTTATTAAAGGTCTGTAATAAGGATTTCGTATATAAGACCGTGTTTTCGGGG